TGATGGCCATTTTCTGCTCTACAATGTTTGGATTCTCCATTGAGATGACTTGATGGAGAGAATGAGAGTGACATGGTGGTAAATGACATATCAGAAAAAAAAATACCATTCTATAGTCATTTAGTAATTTACCATTCTTTAGTAAATACGGCAAATTTCATTGGTATAATTATTCCCACTGTAGCTGATTTAAGCTAGTAATATGATGTCACTAATGCAGCTTTGGTTGAAAATGTATAGTAATATATTAAATTGTATTCCTACCATTCAGATACACTGAAAATAAGCAAGTGGAAGAGATTATAGAAGAGATAAAAAGGTAGAATAAATATTGAGTGTTAAAAATATATTTAATTATAAGCTTATATGATTTATGTTTAATAATGACTGTGCTTAACTACCAGTTCACAAAGTTCCTGAAAATTAACTATAAGTTCTTACAAGCTTGTATGGGTATGCTTAGCACACAATTTAGAGGGGATGACTCAAATATCTAGAGGTTAACTTGTGCAATAATTTCTTGACTCTTATGTCTGGCTATAAAGACTGAATGGTAGACTCCTTTGTGACTTATATTCAAGGATCTCCACAACCTTGTTGGCACAATGAGTAATCAACCATTTTATATAGTGACTCAGGGATTTAAGAACAGGTGTTCCAGTGAATTGGATAAAACTGTATTGTCTTTTAGCAATGAGGTTCAAAAATAAAAAACTGGTATCCATCATAACTGTCACATATCACACACTCCATGCCTCCCCCCAGTTCAAGGAAAAAGAATATAGATTTCACTTCTCAATGGCAGAAGTGACAAAAAAAAATGGATTTTTTAAAAATCAACACAGATGAGTAAAAGAAAGAATAAGAATACTTACCTGGCAGGGGAGATACCATGATCACGAAGGTGGTTTTCCCAGGTTAAAGCTTACCCATTGCACTCCAGATGTGCTGACCCCTGTGATTTCCCCAAATGTGGGAAAGTCGACTGTATAATTTGTGCAGGACAGCATTTGCACTTTCCCCTGACTAAACAAAAGAAAGAAAGAGTAATAAGCTACTGTCAGATTTTCTATTTACTATTTAATATAATATGAAGCATAATAAGCATGACA